AAGGCGCGCGGCCCACCAAATCTGCTGGCCCATGCACACAATCCACAGAAAGTTCGATCTGCTCAAACACGTCATTCCAAAAACAAACCCCGGCCCCCTGTGCAGCTCCCAGCCCAGCCCGGGCCTGGGCAGCCCCACCGCGCAGCCCCTTCTGCCTCCACACGCCGCCCTCTGCACAGTCAGCCACACTTTCTCGGCACCACCCGCCCACGGGACTGCGCCCCACCTCGGGGTTCCGATCCGCCTGCAGGTCTGGCGACCGCTCCACATCCCGCCCCTCCCCTCCCCGCTTCTTCTGCTCCCGGCTCCAACTGGTGCTCTGCCAGGCGGGCGTCAGCGCCGGGCTGCGCTCCACGTCGAAGCGCACGCTGCTGCGGGGCTTGTAGGCGCCGGTGGCGCCGCCGCCGCTGGCCCGCGCCGAGTCGGGCGCCGCTGCCGCCGCGTCCCAGCTGCTGCGCCCGCCCGCCAGTGGCGTGTCGCGCGCGGACGGCGGCCGCCGGCTAGAGGGAGGCAGGCTGCCGCCGCCGCCGCCGCGCGCGGGCGTAGTGTCCCACTCGTCGGCTGCCGGGCGGCGGGAAGGCGTGGACTCCCAAGAGCCACGCTGCGGCGGCGGGCGGCTGCCGCGGTCGTCTCGCCAATCGTCCCGCCGGTCGCGGTCCGGCCGCCAGTCCCTGCAGGCGCGGCAGGGCGGCAGGCGCGGCAGCCGGCAGCCGCGTCAGCGCACGTAGGCAGGCGGCAGCGCTGACAGGCCTGTCGGCAGGAACGTTGGCTGAGCTGGCACTCCGATAAAGGGCAGCACAATCCAACCTTCTTGCTCCTCACTCTACGCTGCTCTCAGCAGCCAGCAGCGCCCACCTGTCTCGGCCGCTGCCGCCGTGCCGCTCGTCCCGCCCGTATCTATCGTCCCGCCGATCCCGTCTGTACCGCTCGTCCCGCCGATCCCTGCCGCCGTCCCGCCGCTCGCGCTCGCCGCCGGCGGTGGACGCATACAGCCCCTCCCGCTCTCGCTCCCGGTGCCGCCGCTCCCGCTCCGCCGCCGTCTCTCGCGCGCGCTCGCTGACGCCGCCAGGGTGGGAGGGCGTCTCTATGCGCTGGCCGCGGTAGTGGCGATGCTCCCGGGGCGCTGTGCTGCCAGGGTCGGGGCCAGAGGTGGAGGGCCCGCCGGCCGCGGCTGCGGGCTCCTCGCCTGCCGCCCCCTCGTCGTCGTCGCCCAGCGACAGCAGCGGCCGCTTGCCTGCCAGCGGCGGGGTGAGGGAGGCAGTGAGGAGGGAGCTGCGCCAGACAGGCAGGCGCAGGGCAGCGCACAGAAAGCTGCTGCGCCCAAGAGCTCAGCGACGCCGGCAGCGCAGGAGCAAAGAGCACGGGACCGATGCAGCGGCCGCTGCTGCAGCAGCTGATCAGCCTGAGATCTCACCCAGCACAGAGCCATGCTTGGCCTGCTCCGCCCGCTTCTGCGCCGCGAGCCTGTCGAGGCCTGCAGCAGGGGGAGGGCACGCAGCGGTGGTGGTGGGGACTTGGCGGCAGCGGCGGCGCGGCCCGGGCAGCGCCTTCCACGAGCGGCGGCTGGCCCACCGGCTTGTCAGACGTCTCCCCCTCTTACCTAGCAGTGACTGACGGGGCGCAGGGGCCTTGAAGACGTGCTTCTCCTTGTCGCTCGTGCCTGAAATGTTCAGGCCTGCCTGCAGCCCACCCTCCTCCTGCTGATCCGAGCCCGGAGGGCCATCTGCGTCCGCCATTCCTCAAGCAACCATGGGCGGAGTGTCCCAAAGCCGAGGATTGATCGACACACGCGTGTGCAGGGGAAGATGATACTCGTGGAGGGCACAGATCGCGAGTAAGAGGTGTCGGTGACTATTGAAAGGCCTCTCGGCGAGCCTGGGCAGGCTTACGGTGCCGACAGGCAGGACGCAAGGTACAGGCTCAGGTCCCCCATCTTCCTGCATGCATGCCAGGGCCTGATCACTCACCCATCATCTGCACCCATGAGCAGCGAGCTTGACAAGCTCATAGCGGAGAGCGAGGAGGCCATCAAGCGGCTCGATGCCATCCAGCAGCGCAAGCACAACGCCACAATTTGGCAGCGCATCACCCGACACTTCCACAAGAACTCCCCGCATTTGATCAACGTGCTGCTGGCGGGCAGCCTGCTGACTGTGGCCCTGGGGCGCTTGGCTCAGAAGCAGGACTTCCAGGTGAGGGCCAGGGAGCGCTGCAAGATGTGAGGATGTGGACGGCGTGTTTGGGTCGGCGAGGACTGACCCCCTGCCACGCCCCTGGCGCTGCCGCCGCTGCCGTCGCCGCCGCCACTGACGCCCTGCTGGCCAAGCCTCGTATGCCACGCTGCACCTGCTGTTGCAGGCGGAGAAGGAGGAGTGGGAGCAGCAGCAGCGCCATCTGCTGGCGGAGAAGCAGCAGGTGGAGCAGCGTGCAACAGCGTTGCTGAGCAGCACAGAGGCGCTGGTGACGGGGCTGGAGGAGGCGGCGGCGGGCAAGGGGCGGCGCGACCTGCCCCAGTTTGTTCTGCAGCAGCTGGCGGACTGGCGGCAGCAGGCGGCGGTGCAGCAGCAGCAACAGCTGGGCCTGCCTGCAGCAGCGGCGGCGGCAGGGTCTGCAGGCGGTGATGAGAGCGGCAGCGGCGGCAGCAGGATTATGATCTGAGCCTCCGATCACCAGTGCCGGAGCGGCGCCAGAGTCTCGACACCCCAGTTTTGTTGAAATCCTTCTCCTGCTGTTGTGCAAGCACTGCCGCCTGGCATCAGCCTTGATTTAAGTTGAAGGATTCATTGGCGGCAAGCACGCGGTGTGTGGTTGTGGCAGGGGTACACCCCTGGTGGAGGCAGCGGGAATAGCGCAGCCATGGCTCCAGCTCCTTGTGATGCTCCTCGCTAGATCTCCTTTCTCTGGAACTGCTGGGGCGAATGAGGGTGAAGTCCTGCTCTCATGTTTGGCCAAGGCGTCTCGCAGGTTTCCCTGGCGTGCGCCAGTTGCTCACGTGGCATCCGCGTTGCCCTGAACGTTGGCTGTGCATAACCTGAGACACAATCCCCATCTTCGAAGGCACGGAAACCATGAGCTCACGGGCAGTGCGGCAGGGCGACGCCTGCGCCTGCCTGCCACTCCCCGAGGACCCCGAGTGGTGTCAGATTGGTGTGTGCGAGTTCCACGGAGGCGAATGGGGGATTTAACAGCCTGGCAGCCTGGTACCGCGCCAACGAGCCTGGCCCGCGTCTTTGCCCTGGAGTCGGCTGGGCCACTACCCCACTTTGCCCCAGCCCCTTGTTTGTGCACCTGTAGAGCGCGTGGAACCACCACCAACCCAAGACGAGCCTGAGCCGGCCAAAGCGGTGGCGCCGCCGTCGTCCCCACCAGCGCCTGCCCCACCGCCAGCGCCTGCCCCACCTCTCTTGCCGATTACCGCTGCCGCCAAGCCGGCACGGCGGGCGCCAGAGCAGGCGGTTAAGGAAGCGCCGCGCAAGCCGCGCTCTCCCGCCACTGGGCTCGCCATTGCCCTTGCAGCCGTGCTCCTGTACCTCATCTGCATAGGCTGCCTCATGCACATCCTGGTCTTTGGCTTTATTGTGGGCCTCTGCCTCGACCCCATCCGCACCAACGGCAGGGCCGTGAAGAAGGAAACTGTGGCCTCGACGGTGCCCAGCAGCGTGGCCCTGACAGCGGTCAGCAGCCCAGTGGATGCGGACGCCGAGGCCCCTCGCCAGCCGCACCAGCAGGCGGTTGGGGAGGAGCAGGAGGACAGGCACAGCGGGATTGAAGTGGACGTGGTGCAAGCCTGCAAGGAGCATGCCGCCGCTGAGGCCGATGTAGAGGAGCATGCCGCCACTGAGACCGAAGGTGGGTGGGAGTGAGGCACAAGGTATTCCTTTGCAGGAGAGCTGGGGCTGACCCAGTTGCAGGCGGCCGGCGCTAGGACCGGCAGTGGGCAGCTTGCCTGCAAGCTGGGCAAGTGGCATGCTTCCGCCTGATGGTCTGGGCCCTCGTACGGGGAGCGTACCAGGGCGTGCCATGCCCCCTTCCAACACTGTCCGCCGCCGGCATCGTTGCAGGCGCTTCCTAAAGACCGGCCAGGCAGATACAAGGTGCGAGGAGGCTACGTCCAAGCTGGAGATAAACAGGAGCAATTCTGCGTTGGGGTTCTGCAAGGGTAGCAGCTTTGCTTTCTATGACCAAAGGCATGCCCATGTATAGGGCGGGGCAGGCCACAGCCACCCGAAGAGAGCCGGCGCGGCAGCAGCAGGCGGCGAGACGCCCACTCAGGAGTGGCACAAGACATTGGTTACACAACGCTCTCTATCGTTGTTGCATGACTGCACTAGCATGTGAACAAGAGCTGCCGTCGAGCAAATGAAATGCGGAATGGTACATGGCAGGCAGGGCCTAGGGCTTAGTGACACAGACGCAGGGAAGCACTAGGGGAGAACAAACTACTCGGGAGGGAGACAGAATGAATGGGGGGGGGGGCAGAGGCGCGATCGCTAGATGGCGGGTGGGAGGCTCTACACATGCAGCCAAGTGCTGCAGACGTTGGGCAAGCAACGAATTGGGCTGCAGGAGGCAGCCCCTAAGGATTTGGTTCAAAGCGAGGAGTATCAAGGCCCTCCCATTGACAGAGGAAGAGGGTGGGGCAAACGGGTTTAATTCTGCATGGGGCACGGGTTGTGCGATGGGCACGTGGCCGAGGGGCCGCGAGCAGCAGGCAGCCGCTGCGTGTCGGCTCATCCAGCGCCAGCGCGTGGCAGCCGCGGCTCGCGCCTTGATGCGGCTGCGTCTCACGCCGCCACCGGAGCCAGGTGGCCGGCCACCGCAGTCACGTAAGGGGCCGCGATCTTGGCCGCGCTCTGCGCGGCGGGCAGCCCCAGCAGCGGGGTAAGGCGGGTCCAGGCGGCCTTGTAGGCGGCGGTGGCCTGCAGGCTGGCCAGCAGCTCGCCGCCCTTGGCCACGGCGGCGCCGTAGCGGGGGTCGGCCTGCGCAGCAGGGCGGGGCGGCGGCAGGACGAGGTGGAGAAGGGGCAGCCAGGCACCGGAACGAGGGCAGGCAGGATTGCGCAGGAAGCCTGGCGCCGAGAGAAGCCACTGGTGCCGCGCCATGGTGGCGCAGCCGTGCGGCTGTCGCAGCGCTCCCGGGGTACTCACCACCAGCGCATCGTGTGCCGCCTTGTACTTGCCGTAAGCGGCATCCACCTGCACCTTGCTGCTGGCCACCAGCCGCTCCACAGCGGGCATGGCGCTCAGCTTGCCCCAGGCAGCGCTGCAGGCGGGGGGAGGCAGGCAGCAGAAGCCCGCACTGTGAAACACGCACTCCAGCATGCCCCATCTCCTGCCTTCAGCCCATGCACACACCGGTGGGCAGCTCCCCACCCAGACATGCATGCCAGCCGCCAGTTCCGCCACAATGTCCGCCCCACACACCCTGCCCGACCGCCCACACGCACGCCGCACCTGATCTCATGCAGCAGCACCTCGGGCACCTTCTTGGCCTCCTCCACCTTGCTGGCCAGCGCCTCGGCGGCCACCTGCGGGCAGGCACGAGCAGGCGCCGACCAGATCGACCCCTCACCTCCCAGCCCTCTCCGGCGCTACCCCTGTCTCGCCGCATGCAACTCCAAACCGTCCGCGCCATGTGCAATGCCCGGGGGCCCATGCACAGAGCCCATAGTCCTGAAAACTAAAGACAGAGAAGCGCGAGCCGTGACGGCCCACCTTGGCGGTGCCCTGCAGGCCCTGCTCCTTCACAAACGCCACAGACTCTTCCACCTTCTTCAGGTAGGCGGCCCTGGCGGCGTTGAAGGCCTCCAGGTCGGCGCCCCGCGCCGCCCGCTGCGCCTCCACCACCGCCGTCAGGTGCGCGGCGTTGGCGGTGTAGGACTGCCAGGCCGACAGGATGGCGCCGTCGACCTGCGGAGCCGTGGGGAGGGCCAGCACAGGGGCACGTCAGCGACCCAGGAAAACAGATTGCAGCCGAGTGTGGGGCATCGCTTGTGTGCAGCTGTGGCGGCAGCCGCAGCAGGATGGATACCACAGGCAGGCGGGCAGCTGCTGCCCTGGGATCTGCGCCGCGCGGAAGGCGAAAGGGGGCAGCGCAGAGCAGGTTGCACTGACGAGCAAGGGGCGCCGCATGCTCCGGTCCTCCTGCTGCTCACCTTGGCGTCGACCGTCTTGAGCGCAATCACGGCCTTGTCGCTGATCAGAGCCACATAAGGGCTGGCCAGGGAGGCCGCCTTGCCCTCCGCCTGCTCCACGGTGGCCTGCAGCCGCGCCGGGACGTAGGTCTTGCTGGTGGCGTACAGAGCGCCGGCCCGGGTGGCGGCCGCAGACGCCGCGGTGGCCACCGGCGCCAGGCGCTTCAGTTGACCGTCGCTGGCCATGCTAGGTGCTGGGGGGTGCTGCGGGGTGGTTGGCGATAGCCGGCGGGGCGTGTGCTGGCCGCGGGCGTCGCTGCAAGGCGGGGCAGCCGGGGAGGGATTCAAGATCCTGACTTGCGGGGTGCAGGAGAAAGATGGAAGGTGGCGCAGGCGATCAAGACAGGCGGCAGAGCCCCACATGGGCTTCCCGCGCTGTTCAAGGTGCGAAGCATGCGGAGCAGGCGCCACCTCAGACCTCATTAGACATCCCTCATTTGCATGTTGGGCACGGGCATTGCTCATCGATCAACACGTCTGCGTTCCAAAGGGGCACCAAGCGACCCTCGGCGCACCATAACGAGCAGACACACCTTGGTTGCCACCTTTGCCGCGGTGAATAGGCTTCAATCGCAGCTCCAACCTCCAACAATAGTACCCTGTCGCCACTGTGTGGTGCACAGCCATGCCGGTGCCGCTGTCAGTCACAAACCCCAAGGCCGTGGGCCTTGCTGCGGCCCAACTGGCCGAACTGCCCACCCAAGGGCCCTTTGCTAGGCTAGGGCAGGCAGCGGATGGTGGCAGGGAGCCCGCGAGCTCCCAGCAGGGTGCAGCGGCGGCGGCGGCGGTGACGGAACAGGCGGGCGCGGCCAGCAGCAGCAGCCACTGGGCGATAGAGACTCATTCCCTGTCCTTTAGCTACCCAGACATTGGTGAGCAGGAGGCTGCCGGCATCGCTCACCCCCTTGCTGCCCAATGAGCCATCAGGCAGCAGGCGGCAACGGCGTGCGGGCCGCTCGGCAGCGCCCGCCTGTCTCCCGCCCACCCTGCCACCCCCGTGCCCCTGCCTCCCTGCAGACGGCCGGCCGCTGCCTGGCCGGCCACCCGTCGTGCGTGACATGAGCATCCAGCTGCCGCGCGGGGCCACCTGCCTGCTCATCGGGCCAAACGGCGCCGGCAAGACGACGCTGTTGAAGGCAAAATGGCAGCCCACACGAGGCGCCGGCACCTGTGCTGGGACGTGTTCCTGTGTGGCAAAGCCCACAGGCGCCCGCTGCAACGCCTTCCCATCTGTCCTGCCCCCTGCAGGTGCTGGGTGGCAAGCACATGGTGCCAGAGGGAGCGGTGCGGGTGCTGGGAGACCCTCCCTTCCACGCCACGCACCTGACCAGCAGCGGCGCGCTGTCGTATGTCGGCGGCAACTGGGAGCGAGACATCGCCTTTGCCGGCTACGCCATCCCTCTGGCGGTGAGACCAGGCGGGCGGCCCACGCAGCTGCTACCGCCCCTGACGGGCAGCTCCGCAATGCCGCCGCTCGCTGCTCGCCGCTCGCTCGCTGCATGCGGGCGTACCGCACAGGACGCTGCCGCCACCCCCATGGCACGCCCACCGCCTGGCTCCCTGATTGCCTGCCGGCCGGCCTGCCTGGCTGCAGGGCGACATCCCGGCGTCGCAGATGCTCAACAGCCTGCCGGGCATCGACCCAGCCAGGAGGGACAAGCTGATTGATGTGCTAGACATAGACCCCAACTGGCGCATGCACCTGGTGTCAGGTATTGGCGGCGGGGCAGCGTTATGCCAGGGGCCGGCATGCCAGGCAGGCCCTGGGCGGCGGCGCTTCCCAGCCCCGTCGCCACGCCCGAGCTCTGCCCTGGCTGCCACCAACAGCATCCCACCCACCCACCCCCGCGCCTGACCAGCCGGCCTCGCCCCGGTCCCCCCGTTCCCTGCGCCGCGCCGCGTGCAGACGGCCAGCGGCGGCGCGTGCAGATTGCCATGGGGCTGCTGAAGCCCTTCCGGGTGCTGCTGCTGGATGAGATCACGGTGGATCTGGATGTGCTGGGCAGGGCCGACCTCATGGCCTTCCTGCGGGAGGAGTGCCGCCAGCGGGGCGCCACCATCGTCTACGTGAGCGGGGCCTGATGCCGCCCCTCCCACCCTGCCTGCTCCCTTGCTTGGCTTGCTTTTGTTTCAGCGCTGGGCCGCCGCATGGGATATGTTGGGTTGAGCCTCGATCCGGACTGCTTGCTGCGTGCCCGGCTTCCGCTGCCCCCGTTTGACCTCACTGCCACTCTGCCTGCCGCGCCTGCTGCCTGCGCAGGCCACCCACATATTCGACGGCCTGGAGTCGTGGCCCTCGCACCTCATGTATGTGGCGGGCGGCCAGCTGCGTGTGTTTGAGCAGGCGGCAAACATCCCGGAGCTGCAGCGGGGCCAGCTGCTGGCGCTGGTGGAGCGCTGGCTGCGCGAGGAGCAGCGGCAAAGGCTGGCCGAGGTGGCGGCGGGCAAGGGCAGCGGCGCAGAGGGCGGGGACAAGCTGGAGTTGGCCAGCTGGAACAACGGCTGGGCGTCGGGGCGGCTGACGTCGTCGCTGAAGCTCAGCAGCAATGCCGTGATGCGCATGTGAATGCAGCGTGTAACCCTGGTTAGCAAGGCAGTCGGCTAGCAGCAGGGCCAGAAGGAGCGAGCGGATACTGTCGCTGTTTGACGGTTGGCAGTGGCGGCGGCCCCCGGCAGCACCTGTGCCGGGGGGTGGATGGTTAATCTGGTGCCAGCATGACACACCATACCAGGGCGTAATCAGCTTTCTTTGATCAGCCATCCCAGCGGCTCCAGCTTCGCCTCAATCTCGCGGCGCTACGCCACGCCAGCTGGCGGGCGGGCCGTCATGTGTGGATTGAGCGGCTGCCATCAGTGGACAGTCCGACAGCCCGAGCTTTCCCCCGTCTCCCCGGTTCATGTGCAGCAGCCGCTCAAGCCCACACGCCATGCCCACTTGAATTGTCGTTCGCTGGGCGGCGGCACGAGCCCAGATGGCGGTCATAGACTCCCGCCCGCGCGGAGAGAATGGCAACGTCAAGGTGCTGGACTGCTCGCCGCCCAGCGGCTTCAAGCAGTCTGGACTGACTCCGGGCGGCGGCGGCCCGCCGCCCAGCCTGCTCCAGCGCCTCGTAGCATGCCTCCAGTATGGCTTTGTCTCTGTGGCCATCACGCTCTTCAACCGAGCCGTCTTCTCCGTCTACCACTTCAACTACCCAAGCACAGTCACGCTGGTGCAAATCCTGGTGTCCCTGGTCTTCATGTACGGGCTGCGGGCGGCCGGCAAGATGGAGTTTGGCGCGCTCGACCGCCGCAGCGCACGCAAGGTGGAATGGCTGTTTGCCTGGCGCAGTGTGGGCCCTGCTAGGTTGAGGATGTGCGCAGGGGGAGATGGAGCAGGCTGCAGCTGCGGCTGCAGGCCAGAGAGCCCCGCCGCCGCGCTCAACCCGCCCGCTGGAGTCGGTGTTTCGATTGCAGGCGGCGCCCCTGGCCTTCTTCTGGTGGCTGTACGTGGTGTCTGGCGTCACGGCGCTGCGATACCTCAACGTCCCTATGTACAGGTGAAGGCAATTTCTGGGTGGCGGGATGGGCCAGGGCCCGATTCCCCTGCTGCGGCGACAGCCAGCCTGCCCCTCTCGCTGCGCCCCTGCCTGCCGCCCACCACCTCGCCCCTGCCCCGCCCCTCGCCCCTGCCGCAGCGTCATCCGCCGCAGCACCACGCTGCTGGTGGTGGCGGGAGAGTACTGGATGTTTGCCAAGCGCCCCACGCGCCGCTCGCTGGCTGCGCTGCTGCTCATGGTGGGCGGCGCGGTGGTGGCGGGCATGACCGACCTCACCTTCAGCCTGCCGGGCTACACCTGGGTCAGCATATGCGTGGCCTCCACCGCCGCCTACCTGCTGCTCATACGCAAGCTGCAAGAAAGCACGGGTGGGTTGGCGGAAGGAGCAGGCCCTGATGCATGTGTCAATGCATGAGGGCGGGCACGGTGCTTATGCTTTCAAGCAGGGAGCAGGCAGCCCTGGCGTACTCTCACAAGGGCTCCCCGCCTGGCCGCTGGCCGCTCGCTGCTCCTCACTATGGCGATGGCATGGCTGCGCAGGCATGAACCAGAGCACGCTGCTGCTGTACAACAATGTGCTGGCGCTGCCGCTGATGGCCGCCTTCATGCTGCTGGCCACCAACGAGGCAGCAGAGGTGGTCAGGTACCCTCAGGTGCGCGGTACAGCTGCTGTCCCGCAATGTACTGCACTGTGGTCGATGCTTGTCTGATGCGTGTGCCAGAGGGAGGACCCAAGGTTCGGCAGCCTGCCTTGCCTTTGGTCGTGAATTCCCTCAAGAATGTTTCTGGCATCCTGACCAACCTCTCCCTGCTGTTGCCGCCCTGCAGCTGTGGGAGCCCCACTTCCTCCTCTTCCTCCTCTTCTCCTGCAGCCAGGCCTTCCTGCTCAACCTGTGCATCTTCAGGTGTGGGCCTGGCACACCTGCAGTCGCACGCGGCCCAGCAGCTGCCAGGCCATGGCTTTGTGCCCACCCCATGCACGCCGCCTGCCCCTACTTTGTAACTTTGGTGCCGCTGGCATCCCTGCCCCTGGCTGCCTGCAGGTGCACCATCATCAACTCCCCACTGGCCACCAACGTCACCGGGCAGATGAAGGACATCCTCACCACGGCGCTCGGCATGGTGCTGTTTGCAGGCCAGTGCCCCGCACCCTTGCCGCGCCACCAGCCTCCCCCTCGCCCCTCCCCAGCTGCCGCTGAATCTGGATGGTGCTTTCTGCAACGCTGCTGCCTGCCAGCATGGCGCCGCTGCATGCAGCCACCTCTGGCAGGGATCACTCCTCAGACTGCTGTCCCCTCTGCTGCCCCCGCTCGTCGCCGCCGCAGATGTCCAGTACTCTGCCCTCAACGTGGCTGGCATAGCGCTGGGCCTAGTGGGCAGCATCACTTACTCGGCAGTCAGCTATGCAGAGAGCAGGGCGGCCAAGGGCCCCAAGGCCCGCGAGTCGCCGCCCAGCAGCATGCTGCCGCCCCGCTCCTCGGGCGGGCGCAGCACCAGCATCGAGGTCGGGGCGCAGGAGCGGGCGGGGCTGCTGAGTGGGCTGCCCAACGGCGACGCCGCCGGCCTCAAGTAGCGCGGCGGTTTGCACTGGCTGCGCTGTCCTGATCAGCTTGCGGCTGCCGTTCGGACAATTCCATTGCTATTGTTCGGTCCGGTTTTCTCTTCTCCACCCTGCTCTTCTGACTGCCGCAACATCTGCACAGCCTGCTCCTCTTTCCTTTCCCAGCTCCTGCTCGCCACTTCGTTTGCTGTACACACCTCCCGTTCATGACCCTATTGGGTGACCAATGATTGATGTTCTAGCCTCAAGACAGTTACATATTGCTGGAGCTGCATAGAACACAGAGCACGCCAGGTGCAAGTGGAGGCGTGGAGCGCCGGGGCGGCAGCAGCAGGCGCCGCTGCCTGCTTTGAGCGCTGGTCACACCATCTTGTCTGCGATGTGCCCGGTCGTCAGATCAAAGACGGGCAGCTTTCGGCTCTTGCTCCGGAGCGAGCGGGCTCGCGTGATGACAAAGGCCGTCCAGCACACCGCCGCCGCGCTGTTGCACAGCACCCGGAACTGCAGCGGCGAAAGAAGCAGAACAGCATGCCGTGTGGCAAGCGAGAAGCAGCTCAGCCTCCAAAAGGGAGCATGCGCGACAGCTGCGTGCCTGCCGGCCTCCTTTGCTGCCCCGACCGCCCCCGCTGCGCTCACCCGCAGCGGCACCAGGAACTGGTTGACCGCCTGTATGCATGGCCAGAAGCGCCAGCCGCGCAGCTGCACCGCGGGCAGCTCGGCTCGCACTTTGGCTCGCGCTGCCGCCCAGCCCAGCCGGTCTGCCACCAGCGCCACATAAGTGATCATCAGGGTGTTGTTGACAGGAGCGTAGGTCAGCTGGTCCAGCGCCACCCGCTGCGCCACCACTTGAACGTGCTGCAGCAGGCCTGGCTGGAAGCTGCGGAAGATGCGGACCAGCAGGCGCTGCCAGATGTGGTTGCTGGGCCCTGAGCAGGGCAGCAAAAGGAGGCGAGCACTTGGGCAGAGACGCCGTCACACGCAGTGGCACCGGTGAATGTGTAAGTCTGAGCAAACACACGTGTGGCTGGTGCGTATTGTGCTGTGTCTGGGTGACTTTTCAAGCCCCGGAGCGGTGCAACCGCAGGCAGGGAGCTCACCATACCACAACATCCCGTATAGGCTCATGAGGGCGCACCGCCGCAACGCCAGCCGCCGTGCACCCAGCAGCCGCTGTGCAACGGCGTCCGCGGTTGCTGCTAGCAAAGCTGCTATAAGGGCCTGCAAACAATTAACAACCAGGGACGGTTGATGGGGGTGGCAGAGTTCTCGGGGCTGGCCGCACACAGGCACCCGCCGCCGCCTCACGTCTTGAACCAGGGAGCGGATGGAAAACGTATGCGGCCCATAGGCGAGCCACATTGCTGCCTTTGGGCGTCCCTGGAGCCTGCCCTGGCTCTGCAGAGCTTCCGGCTGACCGCTGAGCGCAGTGGCGGGGGTGATGGCAGCGGTAACGGCTGTAGGAGAGAGGTCGTGGTGAGAGTTGCAGACGGATAGCTGGCCAGGCAGCGAATGAGCCGTCGGGCGATTGAATCTCCCATCCCCCACTCGGAACATCCACAGCGGGCCCAGCGCGGCGGCCGCCCGCCGCCAAGAACTGGATTAAAGCTGAATGTAAACTGAAAATCGTCTTCGAAGGGAGTAAAACAGATCAGTAGGTGTGTGTTTGCTGCTGTCACTAGAATCCCAGGTGGTCTTGCGGGCTGCCCACCGTGGCGCCGCCGCTGCTGGCCCGCGCGCGCGGCGTGCTGCCAGACGGCGGCAGCCGGAAGGAGGCGGCGGGGCCGGGGCCCAGCAGGGCGCGCAGCCGCTGCACAACCTCTTTGAACGTCGGCCGGTCGTAGTGGTTCTGCTGCCAGCACTCCCTGCAACGGCACGGCACACAGACAGCCGGGTGCATCAGCCTTGCTGGAGCGGCGCGGCACCTTATGCTATGAAGCTGGGGGCAGGGCCCGTCATCTGCTTGTACCAGCAGAGGCAGCCACACATCCATGTCAACTGGTAGTTTCAGAAGCAAAATACATGCAGGGGCAGCAACACTCACTTCATGAGCTTGACATACGCCTGAAGGGCGTCTGGTGCCAAGCGGTCGGGGCCGGGCAGGTCTGCTGCTGGCGGCACCTCTGGCCGGCCGCCGTTCATCACAAGGTGCGCCACCCTGAATGGCGGCGTGCCAGACCAGGGCAGGTGCCACACCAGCATTTCGTACAGGACCTGCGCGGGAGGGATCCAGATCAGGCGGGCACAAGGGCGGATCAAGGTGAGGTGGGCAGGGTGCCGGGTGGGGGAGCAGACGTGAGACCCAAGACTGCAGGCCCAGCAGCCCCGGCATGCGGGGGCGCACCATGCCAAAACCATACACATCCGAGGCGGCCGAGGCGCGGTTGCCCTCGAAAATCTCGGGGGCCTGCACACCACAGCACAGGGTGTTAGCGCCCCCCAATCAGCAGGCTGAGGAGGACAGACGAGCAGGCATGTGCACAGGCGCATGGCATGCGTGCACGCATCAGCCGGCAACACGTTTCCCGGCGGGGCGGGGCGGGCCCGGCAGGCCGGGCTCACCAGCCACAGCGGGTTGGCGGCTCCTCCCGTGGAGCTGGTCGTCTGCTGCGGCTCCAGGATTTTGGACAGATTGAAGTCTGACACCTGCGGCAAGCGGTAGCCATGCACACCATCATTGAGACACGGCGGCAGCAGCAGCGGCACAAGACCACTGCGTGAGCAGCGCCCCGTGGGCCCGCTGCTCAGGATGAGGCCGCGTCCATGAGGTGCGTCACCTTGCAGCGCCAGGCATCGTCCACCAGCAGGTTGGGGCTCTTCACGTCGCGGTGGATGATGGCGGGGGTGGCGGTGTGCAGGTACAGCATGCCGCGTGCAGCGTCCGCCGCCTGGCAGCAGCGCATACCAGAAGGCATCAGGGAACCGGCAAACAAAACGCTTGGGCAGCACCGGCAGTGCACGCGGCTCGTGGGGCGTCCGCAGGCAGGCCAGAGCGCAGTGGAGGCACCCTACGCACGCACCATGCTGAGCCGCAGCTGCCATGTCAGCTCTGCCGCCCGCTTGGGATCCTGCCGTGCCCTCCGCAGCACGTCGTACAGCGAGCCTCGTGCACAAAACTCTGCAGGGAGGACGGCGATCATCGTCACCATCAGCAGCATCAATATGCAGATGCTGGGCAGATAGGCGACCAGCAGCCGCCACTGGCATCGTTCATGCAGTGCACTGTGTGCCAGCGTGACCCGCTTGGGCTTGCCTGTGAGGATGCACGGCGGCACGACACACAGGCCCATGAAGGAAACGAGGTTTGGATGCCGCATGCGCACCATCACGCCCGCCTCCTGCGGCAGCGACGGTGGAAGGCGCACAAGACGTGGAAGGCGTTTGGCCATGCTACACTGCTTGGAAGTACGGCAGTAGATGCCCCTCCGTCTCCCACCCATGTTTACCAGCAACATTGCCATCGTCGCCATCGCCGCCACCCGCAGAGCAGCTGGCTATGTGCGCTGCAGGACGCTCCCCGTGAGAGCCCGCACCTCTTGCAGCTTGATCATCGTGCTCTGCGGCAGCTCCAGGCTGCTGGGAGACAGCGAGTCTGCACACGCACGAGCACACAGACCAGGTGCCCGGGGCAGCCACGTCAGGACAGGCAGTGACAGGCGAGGGGGGTGCCCGGCATGAACCCGCAGGCAGGGGCCACGCATGCCGAGGCAGCGGCAGGTAGGCACAGGCAGCAGGCGCGCACCTGCCGAGATGAGTATCTTCACCGCCACCTCCGTCTCCTTCCAGTGGCCCAGATAGACCCTGCCGAAGCTGCCGCCGCCGATGTGCCGCTCCAGTTCCAGGTCCTTCCACTGCACCTCCCACTGCTGCATCTCCGACAGCAGCACGCCGCCGCTGCCGGGACGGCTGGCGGAGCTGGAAGGCGGGCGGGCACCCGAGCTGACGGGAGACGCAGAGGCGGAGCCGCCAGAGTGGGGTCCCGAGTGTGGTCCGGAGTGGGGGTGCCGCAGGGTCGACAGCAGGTGGCTGTTGATGAGGGAGAGCACTGGGTCGGTACCAAGGGAGTGCAGGCTGCAAGAACAGCAGGGGGGCGGGGCAGGGCAAGCTGTGCGTCAGCAAATCGGCTGGCCAGTTGAGTGCACCAGCATGCACACGGCATCCCAGCCTGGCGCACTGGCAACAGGCGCGGCACGCTGCCAGCCAGGCACAGCCCTGGGTGCATGCCAAATAGCACCCAGGCTGCTGCACTTGGGCAGGAGCTTGCCTGGCGGAGGCGCTGCCGTGCTGCTCCTCGTGGACGCCTGCCGCGATCGCGGCTGCCGCCGCCGCTGCGCCAGCCGCGGCCGCAGCCGTGGCCGTGCCGTCGCTCGCCAGCTGGCTGGCTGCCAGGCTGCCCGCTGTGTGCTGGCTGGGGGTGCTGACGGGGGGCAGGCCGGAGTCTGCGAGCACAGCTTGGCGCCTCCACATCCACCTCCCCCTTGGA